AAAGTAGCTAGGTTTGTACCTCAGGTACAACGGAAGTACTTAGATACCGATTTCCAGTTACTTGTACCTAGGTACTTTACAACCCTGGTTACCAGTTTGAGTTGAGCTACATAGTTGGTACATGGTCATTGATGGTGGGGAAGAAGCTTGAACACTAGACGATTACACAAAAGGACAGGACAAGACAGTCCTTTGAACACACTTCACAGCAAAGAAAAAAATCTACAATGTGCGAAGGCCCAGTGACTCATAGTGAACAAAAATGCTGATGCATTCTTTTCTTAGTTCACCATCTAATATCACATATTTCAGTTTTATATCTGCATTGTTTTTTCTCTGCTGTAGTCCCTGTTTTATTAATGTGTGTTTAAAGTGTATTCAATTTATCAAATATTATGAACATGTAGCAGTCGAGTGGATGAGGAAGAAGAGTAGACCAAGGGATGAAAAAGGTTAAATACTAAAGAATAGTTGATAGTCAGCTTTGTGTGTGTTTTGTCCCGTTTCCGCGTAATTGTTCAGTGCAAGCTGTTTCCCCACCATCAATAGAAGTAGACTTCACGATTGCAAAGCTTGGGAATGCTTAACTTAGGGGGCTTGTGCAGTGCCCCCGTGGATCCCAACTTAGTTATACTGGGGCAGAGTTGGCATCAATGTGGGCTTCATGAGGGAACGTGTAGGCATGCCAACTTGGGCTGCCCATGTAGTACGTCCATGGGTCCTGCAGTGGCTCTGTGGGGGCATAGTTTGTATAGATATGGGCTGCACGGAGAGAAACCGTTCGCATGCCCGATGTTGGCTGCCCATGCGATACCCCCGTGGGTCCCACATTGGCTCTGTAGGGCAGAGTTAGTGTGGATGTGGGCTGCACAAGGGCAAAGCGCGGCGATGCCCAACTTGGGTTGCTCATGCCTGGCACGTAGCCAGGGGGGGGTCCATGGGGCCTGGCCCCCCCCCCCCCTCGAAATCTTCCATTTTGCTGGGGCCTCCTCTCCTCCCTCCCCTCATACAGCATTTTGTCATGGGTGGGACCCCCTGAAACAAAATCCTGGCTACATGCCTGGCTCATGCAATACCCTCATGAATCCCACGTCGGCTCTGCAAGGTCAGCATAGATGTTCGATTCAAGGGGACAAAGCGTGGTCATGCCCAGCTTGGGGTTCCCACACAATTCCCAAAAGGGCACTTTGTGCTAATATTGTGAACATTGAGCGGATGTCCTGGAAATTCCACAAAGGAGATCTATTTAATTTGATACCAAATCACCGAAGAATGTATTTCAAGTCATGAGTAAGACATTTTGGGTTTGCAAAACTTTAATATACTAAATCAGTACATTCGGTGTGCATGTGGAGAAGGCACTCTTATGTGAGTGGAATTTTTTACTCGAGTATATTGAGCTGAAAATTAAATCTAAATATGATCGTTGGAATGTGTTTGTCTGTTCTAAGGCTTGGAGTCTTTAGCTGGCTCAAGCTGGCTCAAGCTGGTTGTGTATACCGATTACCTGTCTAACAGGAATTATATGAAAATGTGCAGTTTTCTGTTTCATTTCGCACACATGAAATGACCAATTTTTTTATAGTCTTGCTCGTGACAATTTATTGATCTATCAAATATTGCACACTTATTAATGGTTATAAGGTTTTCATTAGGCAAGCGGGGAAAGGGAGGAATGCTCAGTCTGGGATGCACTGCAATGCCCCCATCAGAGGTCATTGGCCTTGCCCCAGACGCACAAAAGTGGCCAGTTTGCAGTGCTCCCGATGGGGGCAATCAATAAGAGGGCACTGGCTGCAGTTTCAGAACTTTTAAAAAAGATCAGAGAGGATGTAATGGTTGTAAAGCGGGAAGTGTGTAAAGTTTTAGCTGATGATGAGTTAATTGCCTGCGGTAAAGAATCTCGTAAAGGATCATGAAAAGGGCTTTTTGGGGGCTATGCAAAACGGCGGGATGAAGAGACTGGGACATTGCCGCCTGCTGAGATCGATCAGCGCCACGCCGCTAACCAATCTCAGCTTGCGGCAATGTCCCATTAAAACTTGGGTTTGGGCTAGTTGCTCCACTACTGAATTAAAAGGTTAAAAGCACAAGCAAACTTGGATAATGAAAAAACATGGACGACAGGACAGGCGCTTCTCTCTCAACAGTTTTTTTTATTATCACCATTGTCACCTATATATACACATTGCCCAAACCACATCACACTCAATTGCCACAATCAAAGGCAACCATCCAAAACACCATTTCACTTTGAAGCAGATACACAGACGGAGTGCTGATGCAATTGCTTTCTTTCTTTTTTATATAGAATTCCTCTATAATCTCTTCCGTTTCGTCTTTTGCCTTTCTTAAAAACTTTTTGGAAATCAGGTCAGTTTTACTTTTTAGAAGCGCTTTTCCTGTCGTTTGTGTTTCTTCATTGTCCCTGTTTGTTCGCACTTTTAACATTTTATTGGCCAGTGTCCCGGTTTCTTCGTCCCGCTGTGTTGCATAGCCCCCCTGTTCTGCGGGGTGGTCAATGAAAACAATTTATGGCATAAGGTTATTTTCCGTGTTCATACAGACTCGTTTAGGGTATGTCCATCTTGAGGGTAGTTTGTCCCTTTGCAATTAGTGGAGTTGCTTGACAGCCTGTCTACCATTTACCAAAATGCCTGTACTACTTTGTTTTCCTTAGATATAAAAGATTTATATAACTCCTCAGACAGTAAGCTGTCATTGAGTAGGTTGCGAGACACTTCTCAAGCTGAATTCGGTTTCCTTTCAAGCTCGAGTGGGTATTCGGTGGACGTGTTGTTGTGACTCTTGAACTGTTAATTGAGGTCCCACGTCGTCTGGGAAAGGCTGAATTGAACCCAAATGGGCTGTGGTTCCCAGGGGGAACCTCATGTGGGCTGCTTAAATGGCCCGACGACAGAAGCCGTTCTGGGCAATATGCGGCTGCCTTAGTAGGCCCCCTGTGGATCCCCCGAGGGCAGCCCAGTTGAGCTGCTCAATGGGCCCCCCTTGGGCCTAACTTGCAAAACTGATGCGGGACCCACGGCAAAACTGATGCGGGGCCCACTTTGTGCTACTTGGGGCTGTTATACGTCCGCCGGTGGCCTCTGGTTTCTGCACCAAATCGCATAAAAAGGGGTGTGTCGCAATCTTTAATCTCATTTCATCAATCTTGGGTATATTCGAATGCTTGGAGGCCATAGATTGCGTTATGACCATATATGAACAATCTCGGAAACCACTTTAGTGCCTTTTCAAGGTTTCAAAGAGAAACATTTTAAGCAAACTGGAACGTAAGCTACATACTCCTAGGCAGTCTTGGGTAAGTTACTTTTTAAAAGTATTTAGTTTCAGTTAGTTACTTTCCTAACAATGTATTTTAGTTACAGTTACAGTTACTTAAAAGTAAAAGTAACGCGTTACAGTTACAGTTACTTCGGCAGGGTAACTTAGTTACATTCAAGATACTCATATCTGTAAGCAACTATGAAGACATGGATGACAGAACAAAATGAGCAACATTTACATTTATTTGGGAGTTTCTGAAAACTCTAAACTTTTCAAGATATATTTAATAATGCCGTGTTATTGTTTACTTCATATTGTATCGAAGCAGCAACTGCTTTTCGAAGTTCTTGTCACTTAGCTTTCCCCCCTTGATGTTGAAAACGTCCCGCCCTTGCTGAAAAAACGTTCAACAGGTGCACTAGAAGGAAGTGCGGCATTGAGGCATAAAAAATTATTCTTAACACTGGGGAAAGCTGTTGAGGATGAATAACGCTGTTGATGAGGTGACAGTCTTCCATCGCTGTTCTTCACTGGTCTACTCAGTATTAGCACGCAGTCGCAAATAGGAGTCGTCGTCGTTGTCATCATCACATGTTGGCTCCCGTGTAACTTCCTCGGAAGGGCACAGTGCGCTAGATTCCTCTTCAAGAAGCAGCAGAGAACGCGTTGTCTGCGCTTCATCCATCCGTGAAATTTTAAATTTTGGAGGTACCGCTGTAGCCAGAAGGAGCTCGTCGGACCTGAGGACTCACATGTGTAACATCAAAATTAAAAACAAACGTTTCACGAGCGGGTCGCAGTACAAGTGCAGTAGCTGTTACGTCCACGGTATTTGCCATATGATGCGTGCCCTAATAAAAAAATTGTAGGAATATTGCGGCCAAGGCCCTTTAGCCTCATATGTAATAAATATTTTCAACCGTTTTGCTTATAATTTAATGAAAATGTGTGCATTACTTGTCTTGATAATCGTGAATGAGCTTTCCTGGCAGACGTAACTTTCTACAAAAAGGCGCTAACAAAGAGATCATGCGTTTTCGAAAGAATAAGAAACTGACCTCGTCATTACTGTGATCTTCACTGTGTCTACAAGCGAGCTGCAAAACTTGAGCTTAGGCAGTAAATGTAGCTGCCGCATCAGCGCCACCAATGTCAGCACCAAAGCGCTCATGAACATGTACTGTTCAACTTGTATAATGTCCCGAGCGCCTTGGCAACTCCTTGCGTGGTCTAAGGAATAAAAAAAAAAAAAAAAAACACATTAAAAATACCGGAAAGATGTGAGATAGCTTTTGGGCATACCTGGCAATCCTCCTCGATGAACTTCTGGTCGTCTTTTTGTAGACACGGCAGTGCGCCATGGGGCCACCCCCCTGCCTACGTGCCTGGCTGTTGCTAAAGCCTGCATTCTTTTCAAGCCTAGTCCGAGGTTAGGTCCATGACAAGAGGCACTGTGTAGAGAGGAAAAAAAGGTGTAAAAAAGGGGGAGCAGAGCCAAAAGGACAAACCTCCCACATGAACAGGAGGATAATTTCATTGACTGATCTGCAATAATATGCATTCACTTTTATTGATGTATTAAGTGGAATATGCCACGTAAAAAAATATAACTGGCATAGCATGTTTTCTGCTTTCAGTCCAGTGTTCGTTATGTGGGCAGTAAGATTGCTCATTGCAGCACTTCAATTTTGCTTTTTTTTCTTTTTTTTTAGGCACCGGGTCGTGCAGTCTACTTACTCTGGGTCAACATCTTGGGCCCATGGTTCTTCCAGCCGGCAGCCCCTGAGGTGGATGATAAAAAGCAGAAAAAAATGGAACGCAAGACAAGAAGGCATTAAACTGTGTTGCTGTTTCAGTGAAAAATCTAATAAGACCAGCATGCTCTGTTCTAGCAAAAGAAAAAAAAATGTTTATAGGAACTATGAATGACCTTAGAATTTCCTGTTGTGTTTTTGGCAAATGAAATGAAAACCACACTTGAATTTTAATACTGTAAACTTCAAATATGATTTTTTTAAAAAAGACAAGGATAGAACAAATTCTTATATAATACAAATTATGTACTTGCTCGTTTATCCGTACCATTACAGTTGTCATCTTTAACATGAAAAACTGGGCTAATCGATTGCCGCTAATTATGGTGAAAAACAGCACTGCAGAAACCAGGACTATTCTATGAACAGGCGCTATACAACAGACACCAACTTGCAACTGAAGCTTTTTCAATGCATATACAAAAGAACAAAGAAATCTTACGGCTGTAGGATTGCTTCTTTGCTCTTTTTATGCGTTAAACACAGCTGCGAGTCAGTGCATGTTCTGTCACTTGTGTTCCTTTGGTTAGCACATGTTTCGAGCACTGTTTTTTACCAAGTCGCGTTACCTACAGTGTGTAGCCGTAAGAAACCACATTTGACACGCTTTGCAAAATTTGAATTCCAAACGAACATACCTGAAATTGGGCACACAAAAGTTTTGCAAGAAGTTTTATGCCTATATTTTCGGACCTCAAATCAGAGGCAAGAGATTGTTAAAAATAGTGCAAATATAGTGCTGCACACAGGTTTTGGAGCTTACTCTCAGGTGGTCATTGTTTATAATTTGTTAAAAGTATTATCGCGATTATCTTGCTCACTTCCGGCCTCTGCTACTGGCTCTCAGCATGTTTGCTTTCAGCAAGCCTCCCGGGAGTGAGCTAATAAACCAGTGTGCAGATGACAAACAGGCTAGTATAGGACTTAAGAAATGCACGGCCTCCTATTTTTGGTTTGTTTTTAATATTCCACTTCCTCCGAATTGAGCTTTAAAAAAAATAGACAGAAGACTTCTTTCGAAGCTAAGTTCGCATGTCCGATTTCCAGTGTTTGTAAAGTACATCTAAAAGGTGCTTGAAGTAAAGTACAAAGTAAGTGAGAGATTATGTACAAGTAAAGTAGTAAGTACTCTGGGTGCAATGTATTTGAAGTACTATGGATACAATGTACTTTCAAAGAAAAGTACAAGTACTTAAAAAAAAACTTTTATGATGCCTTTTCATCCCCCTATGCAGTGGTTTTCTTAAATTGGTATGCATTGCCCCAGAGGTAATCAGGGGTGCATCAATTATTTTCGGAAAATGGCGGCGAATATTGGATAAAGTCAAGTGGCCACTGAGTAGTTGTTTTACTGTAGCTGACAAACTCGTTAATGCAATCAACATATGAGGCACTTATATGTTGACAACGCATAATTTTGTGGTACAAATTTCGCAAGACCAAATTTGAGGAATGTACTTTGAAGTCGGAAGTTGTACTTTCTTTGGAAAGTACCAGAAAAAATACTTTAAGTACAAGTACATACTCGGAGAATGTATAAAGTACAAGTTTTCTAAATCTACCTGAAATAGTACATGCTTTAATAACTTAAAGTACCTCCCAACACTACCAATTTCAGGTATGCATGTTTGTAATTAGAATTCTGCAAGGGATGCGAAATGTGTTGGTCCTTATGGCTGCACCCTGTACATATGTTGCTCTCAGTACAGAGGTAATAAAAGTACAATCGGGCTTTTCTTGGCCACGCCTCATATAATCATTGTTTTTCATGATTGCTAAGCTTTACGGCCGCAGCTCGTATGGTAGGATATCAAAGATGTGGCTTGTACATATAGATCTTATATTGCATCATACTGCACCTGTGATGCAAGCTTGTCTGCGTGATTCTGGGGTAGCCTCAGTGAGGATGCGTCCTAATATTACGTAGAGGCTTGCCAAGTTCCAACATTATCTGAAGCATATTTTGTATCCGAATGGTATTATGTACAGCCATTTGTTCAAAATGTTGTAAACCTGTTTGTTTTTGAGGGGGAGGGGGCATAAAAACATGAATAAAACCAACTGAACTTTGTGTTTTGTACATTTGAGTCCTTAATCAAAATTGTTTCCTAACGATAACACTTCATATTATGATTTTAATACTTTAGCACTGCCAACAATATTTCACTGAGCACTGGTTCAGCAAATGGTGGCACTTAGTTTTTTTTTTTTAACTATCTTAAATAGTTATGCAAGTTAGTCTGCCCAGGAAGAAAACCGGTTCCCAGTTTCCTTCTCTCCATTCCCTCGTTCTCTTTTCCCCTCCCCACACGAGCGGCTCTCAGCTACTACCCGCCGAAAACAGGGGGATCTCCCTCTCGAATGGAAACGGTCTACTACGATTCCCTAGTAGGGAATTGTAATAGACCGTTTTTCTCCGGTACGGTATCCGTGAGCAAAACGCCGCATCTGCGCATGCGCGCCATCAGCCTTATCTGCTTAGTTCAAGATCTTGTGGCGGATTACGGAGCGCTATCCGGGTGCTTAGCGGGCTGCGGAAACTGGCGTACTACGGAGCGCTATCCGGGTGCTTAGGGGGCTGCGGAAACAGTAGGGGGTTTTAGTAGGTCGTTTTCGTACAGCCGCTCTGCAGAGCGGAGCGCGGAATCGCCACTGCGCCTGCGCGCCGATGGCCTTGGCTGTAGAGTTCCGGGTAGCGGAGGGGCTTAGCGGAGCGGGAAACACGGTTTACTAAAACTCACTACTAGTGTAGTAGACCGTTTCCGCAGCCCGCTAAGCACCCGGATAGCGCTCCGTAATCCGCCACAAGACCTTGAACTATGCAGACAAGGCTGGCGGCGCGCTTACGCAGCTGCGGCGTTTTTTTCAGGGATACCGTAGCGAAGGAGAAAAACGGTCTACTACAATTCCGTATTAGGGAATTGTAGTAGACCGTTCCCGCAGCCCGCTAAGCACCCGGATAGCGCTCCGTAATCCGCCACAAGACCTTGTACTATGCAGACAAAGCTGGCGGCGCGCATGCGCAGCTGCGGCGTTTTCTTCGGGGGTAGCTTAGCGGAGGAGAAAAACGATCTACTACAACTCCCCATTAGGGAATTGTAGTAGACCGTTCCCGCAGCCCGCTAAGCACCCGGATAGCGCTCCGTAATCCGCCACAAGACCTTGTACTATGCAGACAAAGCTGGCGGCGCGCATGCGCAGCTGCGGCGTTTTCTTCGGGGGTAGCTTAGCGGAGGAGAAAAACGATCTACTACAACTCCCCATTAAGGAATTGTAGTAGACCGTTTCCGCAGCCCGCTAAGCACCCGGATAGCGCTCCGTAATCCGCCACAAGACCTTGAACTATGCAGACAAGGCTGGCGGCGCGCTTACGCAGCTGCGGCGTTTTTTTCAGGGATACCGTAGCGAAGGAGAAAAACGGTCTACTACAATTCCGTATTAGGGAATTGTAGTAGACCGTTCCCGCAGCCCGCTAAGCACCCGGATAGCGCTCCGTAATCCGCCACAAGACCTTGTACTATGCAGACAAAGCTGGTGGCGCGCATGCGCAGCTGCGGCGTTTTCTTCGGGGGTAGCTTAGCGGAGGAGAAAAACGATCTACTACAACTCCCCATTAGGGAATTGTAGTAGACCGTTCCCGCAGCCCGCTAAGCACCCGGATAGCGCTCCGTAATCCGCCACAAGACCTTGAGCTATGCAGAGAAGGCTGGCGGCGCGCATGCGCAGCTGCGGCGTTTTCTTCGGGGGTAGCTTAGCGGAGGAGAAAAACGATCTACTACAACTCCCCATTAGGGAATTGTAGTAGACCGTTCCCGCAGCCCGCTAAGCACCCGGATAGCGCTCCGTAATCCGCCACAAGACCTTGAACTATGCAGACAATGCTGGCGGCGCGCATGCGCAGCTGCGGCGTTTGCTTCGGGGGTAGCTTAGCGGAGGAGAAAAACGATCTACTACAACTCCCCATTAGGGAATTGTAGTAGACCGTTCCCGCAGCCCGCTAAGCACCCGGATAGCGCTCCGTAATCCGCCACAAGACCTTGAACTATACAGACAATGCTAGCGGCGCGCATGCGCAGGTGCGGCGTTTTCTTCGGGGGTAGCTTAGCGGAGGAGAAAAACGATCTACTACAACTCCCCATTAGGGAATTGTAGTAGACCGTTCCCGCAGCCCGCTAAGCACCCGGATAGCGCTCCGTAATCCGCCACAAGACCTTGTACTATGCAGACAAAGCTGGCGGCGCGCATGCGCAGCTGCGGCGTTTTCTTCGGGGGTAGCTTAGCGGAGGAGAAAAACGATCTACTACAACTCCCCATTAGGGAATTGTAGTAGACCGTTCCCGCAGCCCGCTAAGCACCCGGATAGCGCTCCGTAATCCGCCACAAGACCTTGTACTATGCAGACAAAGCTGGCGGCGCGCATGCGCAGCTGCGGCGTTTTCTTCGGTGGTAGCTTAGCGGTGGAGAAAAACGATCTACTACAACTCCCCATTAGGGAATTGTAGTAGACCGTTCCCGCAGCCCGCTAAGCACCCGGATAGCGCTCCGTAATCCGCCACAAGACCTTGAGCTATGCAGAGAAGGCTGGCGGCGCGCATGCGCAGCTGCGGCGTTTTCTTCGGGGATACCGTAGCGGAGGAGAAAAACGGTCTACTACTATTCCCTATTAGGGAATTGTAGTAGAGCGTTTCCTCAGCCCGCCAAGCACCCGGATAGCGCTCCGTAATCCGCCACAAGACCTTGAACTATGCAGACAATGCTGGCGGCGCGCATGCGCAGCTGCGGCGTTTTCTTCACGGATACCGTAGCCGAGGAGAAAAACGATCTACTAGAACTCCCTATTAGAGAGTTTTAGGGAACCGTTTTTGCACATCCGATACGGTACGATGGGCCCTCCGGTACGAACTGCGCATGCGCCTGTTTTCTGCGATTTTACCGTAATGCGCTGGTCGAACCGTAAGGCACGACCGGCACGGCCAATGGCCGACATGGACAGTCTCGCTTGGTCAGCAAAACGGCTCTTTCGCTGGCGGAGGGAGCGTGCCGTGGCTCCAAACATGAAGAAAATAACTCGTGGCAGTGCCTGGCAGGAGCGCCATGTGTGACAGCAAGTTAATAAAGTTTGAGTCAGCAAATAAGAAGAAGAATAAAGACCAAAACGCAGTTCGACTTCTTTAATTGAAATAAATTAGTGTTTAGTGTAGCTAAAAGTCTTCTGCTCGGTAGCTCAGTGGATTGGAGCGCCGATTTGTTGAACTCGTAGTGGAGCGACAGTGGAGAGTTCAAATCCCGCTGGCCCAGGCCTCTTTTTTTTTTTTTTTTTTTTTTTTTTTACATTTTAAAAGTTTTTTTTTTTTTTTTTTTTTTTTTTTTTTACAAGCATTGGATGTGCATTTCGAGCACTTATCACCCGTTTTTTACAGCTGCTGTTATGACTGAGGATTTTCTGTAGTGGCAACAGAGTGAGCAACAGCCTTCTGCATCATGGCTCTGGATACCTTTTAGTTTAAAAATGCTGCATGAATTAAAAATTTCTGTACAAATGCTAATCACATATATCCTATAAAACGAGCCCTTTGAATATTGGGTGATAGTTTTAATAGGTGCACAGCAGTAAAGTTACAGGTTTTGCTTTATATTTTCTTCGTGGTCGTACCGCACACGGCGCAACGATCGGTACGCGGGCGTACGACCGTGATCGTCTGCTATCTGTACCGTAAGAGAGCAACATGAGCGCCGCATCTAGCTCCGTCCCTCCGCCTCCTCCTCGCAAGCGGTTTGCAACAGAATACATCTTTCTACTTCGGGAGGTGCTAGGCGCTACTCCTTTTTCACTCCAGCCCTTTGGAATGACGCAGGGTTGAAAAAGAACTTCTCATTGCGAGGAGCGAAGGAACGGATTGACCTCCTCGTAAATAAAAATAGAGATTTGAGACGTACTGTAAGATACGTCATTCCAAAAATATACACACTGTATGGAAAGAAAAACAGAAATCATCACATTCCTTCCTTATTTAACGAACTCCCAGAGTACCTTATGAATATAGAATCCACTAGGGTACTAAAAAGGAAACTAAGGAATTGGTGTCAATCATCTGAGCTGTAGATATCGTAGCCTAACCGTTGGAGATATTTCGTACTTTTATTTCATGGTTGCGTGAGCAGACTTGGCTATAAACACCTATATTTCATGCTCTAAAGTTTTCCTTTTTGTATTTATTTGTGGTGCTAATTTTGGGTTTCTTCAATTTTTTTTTTTTTGTGCTGCGGAGTGTTTTCTTTTTTCTTTTTTTTTTTTGTAACAACATGTATTCTAGCTGGTCGCCTGGCCCCACATACAAGCAGAATGCTGCTTTTGTGGGCCAGCTCTTTATTTTGTATGACTTGATCTGAAAATAAAAATTGAATTAAATTGAAAATTGAATTGAATTATCTTTGTACAAGAAAAATGACCGCATCAACTTCAGAAAGTGTTTATATTTTGGTTATTTTTGTATTTTCTTCGAGATTTAATATTTCTAGTTTTATTTGTCCATAGCTTTCTCAATACTCGATCTGCATTGGGCCTCGAGGGAAAGAGACAGGATCGCTAGCAGACGACTTCGAATGTTGATGATAAGCGCGCGCGAGCGTGTTCTTGAGCCAAACTGAGTTTGCTTTCGGCACCGTTTCAGCATATCAGGACGTGGTTGGTGTAAACATCATATTTGGTTGATGTAAAACAGCAAATCTTATCCGCTGAGAACGCATGATTTGTTAGAAAACAAGCTACCATGTACGGTCGAGGCATTATTTTATTCCCCAAGTATATAAATCTGGTAAACTAAAAGAAAAAAAAAATACGCTGGCACACCATTCCTGGTATCACAACTTTTTTGTATACTCAAAAGCTATGCCAAGTTGAACGTCCTATGCCTTGCCGCCAACAAGCGCCTTCTCTTAGTGTATCGGTGCTCGGTGGCACCCGAAAGAAATGCGACTGACTCCGTGTCACGGCAAACCAAAAAGAATGTTTATTCCCTCGTGCCCCTGCACAAGTCACGGGCCCCACGGCACGCGCGTGCGTGCCTCGCTTATAGAAAG